AGAAGTTTTTCAAAGCCAACACTTGAGTTTCAAACTGAGTTTTTTGAGGAAGTAAAGATGAGTTTTGAGAAAGAAATGTATTCATTAGTTCCTATATGATTATTGAGGTCCTCAAGTTGAGTCGTACATGCCCATAATTCCGTATGAACCCTACGAATTGAGTTATAAGTTTCAGACTGAGTTTTGAGAAAAAGTTTAAATGTTCTATATCATAAAGACTTAAGAGTTTCTAATGTTATTTTATTCATATATATGTACCTATGTTAATTATTGGACTTGAAAGATAAGTTCATAAGTACATGTTTTCAAGAAGGTAAACACGTCTCATGTTTTGAAAAGTATTTCAAGTAATGTAAGAAGTCCATTCTTTGTAATGAGTGAATTGAGAAAAAAGTTATATTAATTATTTTGGGAGTAGTATCGAGCACCGAGTTGGGTTAGAGTCTCTTATGATTTGGAAGTCCCACAAAACTACGTAGCCAACGTAGGATAGGATAACATTGATTCTTCATGCGACTCCTCACCGCCTCTGAGAAGGCATATAGTTAGATCCATAGTCATGATATCATCTTATACCCCCGCAAGGTATATTATGGGCCCTTGCAACATGCAGTGGGACGCTGTATTATTGCTAGGCTCATAGTACTGGTTGTCGGTTAGAAAAACTCTCCACAAGTAAAGTATATTATTTTCATGTTGCTTTCATTGTATATTTTATTGTAAAGCTTAAATGATTTTCATTTCAAGTTCATGTATTGATTTAGTTGAGTTGCTTTCAGTCATTCAGTTCAGTTATTTGTTTACTCAACTATATTACATACTCGTACATTCCATGTACTGATGTCATTCGACCTACATCCTTTTATGATGCAGATATAGATGTTCATGATTATCAACAAATGCTTCGTTGAGATCACTCTACACTCCAGTTAGTTTTGGTGAGCCTCCTTGTATTCCATAGGACTTCACAGTTACTTTCCAGTTAGTATTTTTGAGGTGTCGTGGGTCTTGTCCCGACATCCTTTCTTAATAGTAGAGGCTTCATAGATAGACAATTTTGGATAGTCTTTTAATTTTCAGATATTTTATTTAAACTTGTGTTTCATACTAAGTATATTCAACAAAGTTTTGAGATTCAGTAAACTAGTTTTAAACATTTCTTTCAATTTGATGCTTATGTATGCTCTAATTAGTCTTCCGCTTGTAGTCAGCCAGTATGAGGGTTCGCTTGGGACCAACAATGGTTCTTGAGTACCGGCCACGTCCAGGGTGTAGGCTCGGGTCATGACAATTACTTATTATGTTGAGTTCAAAGATGAGAAAGTATTTTGCAAAGCTTTAAATGATTTAACTCCTCTATTTCTTTACATTCAGCTTGAGTACATTGTTATATATTGCAATCCCTCTTTAAGTTATTTGTTATTCAGCTATATTACGTACCCGTACATTTAATGTATTGATGTCATTCGACCTGCATCTTTTAATGATGCAGATACAGGTTCTTAGGATCCTCAACAAGAGCCCGTTGAGATCACTTCATCTGCTCGTCAGGTTTTAAGTAAGACCTCCTTGCTTCTGGAGGACTATACAGTTTTATGATTTGTTAGTAGTAGTTCATTTGAGGAGTCGTGGGTCTTGCCCCAACACTCATCTTTGTATAGTAAAGGCTTCATAGATAGACAGTTTTGTAGAATCTTTCAGTTTCAGATATTTTATTTAAAACTTATGTTTCATACTCAGAATATTCAGCAAAGTTTTGAGATTCAGTAAACTGTTTTTAAATGTTTCTTTTAATTTGATGCTTATGTATACTTGAGTAAGTCTTTTGCTTGTAGTCAACCATGATGAGGGTTCGCTTGGGGGCCATCAATGGTTCTCGAGTGCTGGCCACGTTCACGGTGTAGGCTCGGATCGTGACAAAATTTCACTCTCTTTGATGGAGTGAGTAGCCACAACTGTTAATCCTTTTCTATTAAACAAGTATATTTTCTAATTTTTTTGAGATAAGGCGCAAGTTGTCCCTCTAACTATATTCGAAATCCCAGCGACACCTAACCTTAAGTAGGGTCTCATTAACCCAGTAAACACATATTTATGTATTTTTTTTTTGCTCCTTTTGTGTTGATGTGACATAGATAGTGTGCTCACTCTCGAACTCAAGTGCGAGGTAAAAAGGAAAAACAAATCTGATCAATATTGGATACATGTCCTCTATTAATTGGACATTTTAGAATTGGTTAATACACATAATTATTAACATTAAAATTTGTATATATTTAATTATTTAAAAAAAAATAATCTTTGTAACATATTTACTTCTCTCCTCACTTTAAAGTTTTTATTTTCTTTCTTCCGTTATTTTCTTATCTTTTCACTTTTATTTTAGAAAACTTATCCGCGTTCTTTTTAATTATTTTTTTTTGAAAAAAAGTGTCCTTTAACTTTAACGTTTTAATATTTTTTATGTTTATTTGATTTTCTTCACTTTTTGGATACTTGTTCGAAATTATCTTATTTTATATACAGGACATCTGGAATTAAATTTAATGTGAAATCAAAAGGATAAACAAATAAAAAATCAATAGAATTAATGGAGGTAAAATATGAAGAAAAAAATTACGTTATGTTTGAGAAAATCTTAAATACTAGGAAATAAATATTAAAAAAGTTGTGTATTTGAGAAAATTTTTAAATACAAGGTTTTTTTTTTCTTTTTCCTATGTATATTAACTTATTTTTATTACAATGCAAAGAAAATAAGAAGATTGTTTTCAAAAAAATATTTGTATTATACATGTGACAACACATGTAGGGGTGTTCATGGTTCGGTTTTGATCGGTTATTGGTTAAAATCAAAACCAAACCAATTTAGTCGGTTTTTAATTTTCTAAAACCAAATCAAACCAAATGAAAAAAATAACCGTCGGTTTGGTTGTTGTCGATTTGGTTCGAGTTTTTGGGTTTTTGGGTTTGAAAGTAATAAACTAAACTTGGAGATTTGGTAGACACAAACACCTAATACATGAACAATCTACAAGAAAGTTATTGTAGATTCAATTAAGCAATACTAAAGAAAGTAATTGTAGATTCAATTATGCAATACTAGAGTTATTATTACACGATTAGAGTGATTCAATTAAGAGAAAGTGTGACTATCTAATGTGACGTAGGGTATGTAAGATTAAAGTAATGGACTTGATCTTAGGATTTTAATAGTTGAGCTAAAATTTAAGTATTGAGCTTGAGAAAATGGTAAAGTTGGGACTTAAGTTAATTAAAATCTAACATAATATTTATATTTTATTTATGAATAATATATAAATAATTATAAATTTTTTATATATAATTTCTCGGTTTGATTTGGTTGTTTTTGTGGTTTTTTTTAATAAAATCAAAACCAAACCTAATAGTATCGATTTTCAAAATTTAAAACCAAACCTAACCAAACCACACCAAATATCGGATTTTTTTAGTCTATTTGGTTTTTCAACTATAACCATGAATAGACCTAAGCGCATGTATATCACCACAACTAATTGAATCGAGTCTTGGCTCCACGTCAGCATTAGTTGTATAACAAAAGCACGGAAATATATAATGAACGCGTTTAGAGGAGGGGTGGGGGTAATAGGACACTAGTTAAGTTTAGATATGTTGTTGAGATCGGATTTAGTTTAGAATGATACTTGTGTCTTATCCTTTTTTTCTTTATCTTTATCGTCACCTCACCACAACCTCACCCTCCACCCCCACCATTATAACTAATGACACCACCTCCAGCCTTCTCTAACACAATTAAAAGCCACCTCCCCCTTCAATACAATTTATACTAAGCCACTCCTCCAAAACAACCGCCAAAAAGGTTGAAGTTTTACTTATATAATTACTACATATCAAATACAATTCTTGATCCAAAAATCTTTACGTTGAGAACTTACATGCCTTCTTTCTTCTTTCTTACTTATAATTACACTCCAAGAGTAGTGAAAAAACGAAAAAAAGCTTTAAAAAAATTAAAGGGATAAGACAGTAGAGACTCAAAACACATAACATACCAATGGATGGTAGATAGTCTTCAAATATCACTTGCATTTAAGAGCACTCTTGATCTTATGAATTGTGTGTGAGATGAGTGCATTAGCTTCTTTGACCAACTCCATAGAAAGAGTTGTATTTGGAAAGATGTTCCCCATCATTTGAAAGCTGATAGTCACCAGCGATCCACCATCGAACCCATTATTCATCTTCCCAGAAATAACATTATAGTTATTAGTTGTAGAGAAATCTTGAAAACAATCCGGGACTATTGCTATTCCATTTGAGAAGAGAGTTACACAAGAAGAGTTCCCCCCTTTCATCACCGTATTAATTTCTTGTGAATCAATTGTAGCATAAACCAAAAGAGATCTAGTTGCATCCATGCAAATATATTGCAAGATCACTCGATTAGCACCAGAATCGAATCAAAAGAAAATATTATTTATAAATTAACAATTAATTAAAAAATCTAATCCAATCATGTTTCCAAAAAAAAAACACAACAATTAACCACTCACATGAGGAAAAAAAAGAGAAATGTTACTGTTGACAGTTTGACCCTTAGAAATATGTATCATTCATTCCATGGGACAAGTATTGGAGTACAAGACATCCCACTGGCTCCTTATTTGTTCATTAGTGAGGAATTTGAACAAACGTTGGTGTTTCACGGGTAATCAGTTTGTCTTTGTAGAACTTAACACCACACCAATTGATTCACCAAGGTTACTAATATTCGTCCTCATCATTAATTTGGAATTTTATTCATTTGCTAGTTGAATTATTTCCCAATAGTGAGCGGTTGCACAAACCCCCATACAAAAATTATGCGTCATGCGTTGAGCCAACATTCTTATACCTCTCTCACCACTTAAATCAACTGCCACAAATAAAGCTACATCCGAATCAATTCTTTTTAATATTCAAAAGTATAAAAGATAAATGGCACAATAATTGAACCTCTATGTATGATTACCTATGGGATCAACAATTGACTTCATCACTTTCAAGAACTGATATTGTCTTTGCAATGTAACCATCCACCTATGAGCACCAAATCCCAGACCAGTCTTTATCAAAGGGCGATACCAATCGTGGACAAGATTTTCATTATATTCCATGTGCTCAATCCAAGTAACCTGAAAATATTTCATTACTATTACAAAAGCACTAGAGAGAAAAATATGATCAGCTTGTATGAAATATTAATTTAATTATTAATTAAAATAAAATGGCCATTATTGGAGACAATTTAGAAAATTCAATCATTAAATAAATGAGTCAATCACAAGGAATGTATCCTCAAAAAAGATTTCTAGTGGTCTTGCCAATAAATATGGAAGGAAAGAGTGTGCAAAATATTTAGGTCTTGCATTTGGTATGATGCGAGGATACACGGAAGGAAAAAATTGCAGAAAAATTAATGTTTCTAAATATATTAATTTGAAAGGGAGCATAAAAAAAATTAGACAATTAAAATTTATTGCAAGGTTAGAAGGTGAAGAGTAATAAAAGAAATTCTTTATCAAGAAACGATATAACATGTTTCGAACAATTACTAAATAGTTGCATTACTCAAAGCTAGAAGAAAGTTGATCTTTCTCATTCCGAATAAATAAATAAAAATTCAGATAGAGAACAAATCACTATAATGGATACATAGATTGTATTATAAAAAAAATCAATAAAAGTAAATCATCAAGAATAAGATTAATAAAATATGAGTGATCTAGCTCATTGAATTTCAAAAAATATAAAGGCCTATGGGATGCATAATAAAAAGACAATTTATTTTGAATTACCTGGCAATAACTATTTGGCATATCTTGTAAAATACAGCCAGATAGGAACCTCCAACAATTTTCAATTTCGCTCTCTTGTGAACCTTCTTGAATTGTGTCACCAGACACATCAATGATAGCCCAGACACCTTCAACATATTTCTTACAGAAGCGAAGAAATTGTACTTCGCGAACATAAACTAGGTCAGAAATGATTTGCAATTCGGTTTTAATCTGCAAATCATTACTTTCTAGTTGTTAGTGCATGAATTAATAAAATAAATAAGATATGTAAATTTCATCAAAATAATAAGTAAGTAGAAATACCAATAACAGAGAACCGCTCTTATTTCCACCTATGCCAGTGGAAATCACATCAGTAGTATATGTTTTTTCAACAACGCATGGAAACATCTCTACCCACTGCCTCTGCATATATACAATATAGTACATAACAAAAAATAAAAAATATAACATGTCAACACATACTTGTATTCATCACTTGAAGTTAAATTTGATTGATTAAAATAATATGCAACAACTAATTGAAGCACCACTAAAAAACTAATAAAAAGGTATGTCAAATATAGTAATAAAAAGTAAGAGTACAACTAATTAAAAAGAATAAAAAATAAAAAGAACTAATTATTCACGTCAAATAAGGGGTAGGTTGTAAAGAGATGATAGTTCTTAAAAATGAGACAGAGGAAAACATTGAATTTAAAATGAAGAGCCTACGTACCTTATCCAACAGTGTATTCACCAATGCCAAACTGGTGTCAGCCACTGTACCTGATTCCCTTGTGGCTTCCGTTGTGAAATGTTTAGGTTTCGTGCCGATTAATGGGGTAAACAATCAAGCATATTCCTTAATATTTAACGTTTCTCCACCTCCATCCAAACTGCTAACCCAAAGAGGTTTATCATTTTCGTAGAGCCTAAAAAGCTCATTCAAGGCATCCAAAGCAAGATTCAATAGCACCATCTTATCATGCACTATGTCTTTATTAAATAAGCTTAATTTGTACGCTTGGGCGGTAAGCCTCTTAACTTCATCTTCCAATTGGTTATGCTCAATCTTTATTTGATTCTCATAAATGTTTTCTTTACAATTGTCACAAATTGAATTTTCCAGGGTTTCCTTCATTACAAAATGCTCTATGCGAAGCTGGTCATTTTCTTGCTTCAAAGTCTTATTTTCGTATCATTCCAATTGCGATTGATAAAATAACACAATTCATTCTTATAATCAATTATACAAATTTCACATAAGAAAAAAATAAGAAATGTTGTGATATGTATCACCTTCATTTGGGTTCTTTTATTCTGGAACCAATTTTGCACCTGTTTGATGTCCATGGATAATTTTGTTGAAAGTTCTTGTCGTGCTTATTTGTTAGGAAGTGAATTCTTTTTGTAAAACCTATTGCCAATGGTATAAACAATGATTGAAAAATCAAAATTAACATAAGAAAATAAACAAGTACAAAATAAATTAGAATTATACTTAAGTTTCAAGCTCTTGAATCTGATCGGCATTTTGCCTAATGGGGTTCTTCCTCTTCGATGATGATTCACCACCAGTTATGTTGTCACCGGTAAAACTTCTCTCTATTTCTTCCTCTCCAGATCCTTCTATCAAAACATTAATCAAACTTTTTCCTCTCTCATTCATGTCACTATGACCTTCCATCTTTTATTTCTGAACAAATTTAAGATGTATCAGTTCAACTCAATATCATATGTGATCATATCAAGTTTCTTTTGAGATTTTATATTGTTTATCAATTTATTGACTGCTAGATTACACCAAATAATTGCATAACGCAGTAAAAAAATATTTTATTGAAGCAATATATATTAAGAAAGAGTTAAACTCTTGTAGTAACATAAATGGAGAGTCTAGTTATAGTTAAAGGTGGTAGTAGTTAGTAATTACGAATCTATAGAATAACTCCATTTCCATTACTATATCATGAACCCTATAAGTCGAACAATCTTGAGATCAGAAGTATCTTTGAGTCCTTGAGTTGAGTAGTTCATGCTCATAATTCCGCATGAACCCTCTGAGTTGAGCATTCTTTAAATGAGTAGTAAAATTGAAGTTTTTGAGTTCCAAGTATTGAGTTATATGCATAGTTATTGAAAACCTTGAATTGAGTCATTCACATCCATAATTCGGCATGAACCCTATTTTAAGAAGTCTTTTTACAAATTATTTAAAACTTGTTTTAAAGACTTGAGCACTATGTTGAGAAAGAGTAGAGTTCAGTTCATTTTCTTTAAAATGATATATGGGAACTAAGTATTTCCAAGAGTAAATAGTTTTTACATTTAAGATGAGAGGAAACTAGAGATTTCCAAAAGAGTTTTGAGCAGTTCGAGTACTACCTCTTTTTAAGAAAAAGATGAGTTTTGAGAAGAGTTTCTGAAACATGATTAGTATGACAATCAAGTATGTCATCAATGTTTAAGCAGTATGGTATGTAGATATACCATTAATGTTTATGCAATATGACTTTCTGAGTTATCAATGATCATATTAAACTATAATTTTGATACCGTTTTGAGAAAGAGTTTTCAAGAGCAGTTACCTCTTTTAAGAGGGTAGTTTGAGAAATTATCTCAAAGCAGAGAAAGAGTTATGTTCTTAAAACATATGAGATGAGTATATTTTGGGAGTAGTATTGAGCACCGATATGGAAACGAGAGTTCATAATAACTCAAGTCTCCATAAACCATGCAGCTATCATGGGTAGAAATGATCATACTTTTTAGGTGACTCCTTAGTGATTTTTAGCATAGACTAGTGGATCCACTTAGTTAAGGCATCCTATATGACGGCAAAGTATAGGACAGTTTTGGTAGTGTGGGTAAGACGCTGTAACATCACTTAGGCTCATAGTGGTGGTTGTCGATTAGAGAAACTCCCACAGAGTTATATTATATTTTATTATATATAAATTGAGTTGTTATTGTACTCTTTAATACACTGAGTTGTTTTTTATTGTTTTAAAAACTTTATATATATTGCATCTTCTACTATTGCTTTATCCTTGAGTATCATCAGTTGAGTATTTCAGGTTGTGTATCTTGAGTTGAGTATTTTGAGTTGAGTATCTTGAGTCGATATGTGCTTCATTATATCGAGTACCTTATTGTTGAGTTTCACTGAGTTGAGAACCTTATTACTTAATTGAGTATCGTATCCTTGAGTACTTCTGAGTTGAGTAAGTTTAAGTAGTTTTGAGTATCCTTGAGTATTCCTTGGGTTGAGTAAGTTTGAAAAGAGGTAAGTATGTTGTCTTTTTATAAAGTTTCAAGCTTATATTATTCTTTAGAATTCCCCTTACATGCTCGTACATTCTATGTACTGAGCCATTTTGCCTGCATACTTTCATGATGCAGATTCAGGAATTCGGGATCATCAACATGAGTTTCGTTGATACCACATGGAGTTCGAGTTAGCTATGGTGAGCCTTCTTGCTTCCGGAGGATTTCATTTACTTTTCAGTTATATAGGTGTTTAGGATGTCATGGGTCGTATCCCGACTTCCATCTTTGTCACATAGAGGCTTTGTAGATAGATAGTAGAGTTTGAGAAGTCTGTTTCATTTATCTTGTTAAATGTATTAAAGACTTGAGTTGCCTATTGTTGGCTAGTTGAATATTCTATTTTTATTCAGAGTTATTCATTTGAGTTAGAGATTTGTAGGTTTAATGAATTTTATTCAGTTTTTAAGCTTTGTATTCCTGAGTTAGTCTTCCGCTTGTAGTCAGCCGGGATGAGGGTTCGCTTGGGATCAACAATGGTTTTCAAGTCCCGGCCTCGTCCAAGGTATAGGCTTGGGGCGTGACAAACTTGGTATCAGAGCACATAGTTGAAGTGTCCTAGGGTGTCTATGAAGTCGTGTCAAGTAGGATCTTGTTTATGGTTGTGAGGGCCCCATTTCTATGAATGAGGGACGACGAACATTTAAGAAAAGTTCCCTTCGTTCATCCTCTAAATCGTTCAATAGAGCTAAGTCATAGAGATTTATTCATACTCGTGCGTTTCTCAGATTCATTCATTCGACTACCCATCATACTAGAGGTGGTTGAACATAAAAGTCAATCCTTTATCGATAAGATTTTCTTAGAAATTTTTTTGAGGAAGTCATGATACTCGAGAGGGGATTGAGAGAAGCCTATGAGTGAGTTAAGTGTTGAGTTTCAGAAGGAATGCACTCATATTATAAGAATCGTGTGTTTGAGCTAAAAGGGAGCTGTACTCTTTTCTCTAAGCCTTGTTTCAGCTGAGATCCTTATGAGAATGTATGTTTAGATTTTGTGTAGTATTTTCACCCTAAAAGGTAGCATGAGTTACAAGATCATAAGCAGTAGTAGCAAAACATCCCAAAGTTAGAGAAAAGTATGCAGAGGTTTAGGAATTTAAGTAAGGGAGATGGTGTTTCGACAAGCTATGTTACTATAGTCATGCACCTAGAAAGTTATTAATGAGGAGTTTTCCCTTATGGGTAGACTAAGAAGTGATGAGTTGTGAAGATTCCATCATAGGAGGTAGAGTGTGTTTTAGCTAGAAAGGAGCTTGTGATAAAGTGTCGTTGTGCAGGTAATGACCTAGTGTAAGCGTCGAATAGAAGAGCAAAAGTATTCATAAAGTGATAGATCTAAGCTGGGCTTATGATTTGTTTTAGAGGGTCATGATGTTCAAAAGGTTATAGAACTGATCAAGTAATGAGGTATAGTACAGTAGGCGAGCAATCATATTGATAGTCAGGTTTAGTAATGAGCATTAAGCTTGAATTTGAGATGAGTGTCCTGATAAAAAAAATGACAACATGAGGGTGATGATGTTAGTCTTGCGATTTGATCTAGAAGAATTGACATAGAGTAGGTGACAAATTGAGGTGATTAGTTGCAATAAATATTAGTGGTACAAGTGAGATACCCTAAACCTCTTGACAAGGGTAGTGAAGTGTGGCTAAGTCACAAGAATAAAAAGAGCATTACGAGGTGTACCGAGAGGTTATGTTATCAAAAGAGTTTAGCAGAAACACCTTAAAAAGAGGTCTTAGTACCTGCCTATTGAGAGTCATGTTAAACTTCTCCCGAGTGTTAGAGTAAAAAAAAGATGTAGACCAGTTTGGAGCTGATGGCATAGGTCCATAGCTTTCAAGTGTCAGCTTTAGACCTAAGGGGAAATGACAAGATGAGAAATCAAGTCAAGTGTTTGGGAGTAAGATAGTAAGGAGTTCCAAAGAGCTTCGGGGATATCTTTTTAGAGGTCCTTTTAGAAATGAAGATGTTAGAGTAATGGTCTTGGGATGAGATTCCCTATAGAGAGGTATAGAAACTGAACCTAAGGATTTGGGTTAAGCTTGAATATAGTAAGAGTATACCATTAGACTCAGACCTTAGTAAGAGTAACTCCATTCCATACCCAGTCCACCTGTTATTTGAGGACGAATAATCCCAAGGGGGAGATACTGTAACACCCCAGAAAATTTTGAGCTAAGACTCAAACCATCCTTCATTGTGAGTAGGTTTTTACTGAGGAATTTAAAATTTCTTAAGTGTTAAGGTCACTAGATGTAGCACTTTGAATTCCAAGAAGAACTAAAAAGAGTTCATTCAAGTCATTCCTAAGTTCCTTTAAGTTTTGGGTCAACTTCAAACGACCATAACTCTTAGTAAAACATGAGTTAGGTGGGATACAAGTTAGATAATGAAATTTATTTGAATTATCTTTCCAACGCTACCGAGTTTGGTAAGTTTCGAGTTCGGATGAGTGAGATATGTCCTTTTGAAGTCAGTCTATCCAGTAAAGGAAAGTTACCCGAAAATAGTAAGGGGTATTTTGGTCTTTTCCTTACCCAATCAGATTTAATTAGTTTTTAGTAATGTTTTAGGGGTCTAATACTATTAGGTTAAGTTTTATAATCCTAAAATACGCCTAGGGTTTTAATTGAGAGTTCAAGAAGA